GATATTCTCTTTTCTTTTTTTTATTCTCTTGCAGATCATTTTTGATCTACTGTTCTTTTGAATGATGACCAAACCCTTATTTAGCTCACCCTGACTTTGATCCCTTTCTGTATTATCTTTTTTTTTTGGCAATCTTTTGTTAACAAGTTTGCAGAGTTTCTTTCTAGGAGCAATATTCAAACTACTTCCAGAGGCAATATTCAAACTACTTCTAATCATCTAGCTACATAGCAATCTTCTAAAAACAATGAAATGACGTTCAAGTGAAATTTTAAGCAAAATGACTTGAAACTTAAATATAATAATTGAAATGTCCAAAGATTGTTTGATAATTCGATGTTACATCTAAGGTTTATATATGATTGTTATATTGTAATATATGGTCATTTTAATTCTTTAAAGTTTCAATAACATCTTGTTGGTCTTCAAATGTTTCTGATGACATTAGAATTAGAACACATTTAATAAGATAAATTACTTGTTATGAACAGTAAGAAGAAAGCATTTTTTTAAACAAATAAATAAGATATCAATTTTGCTATTTAATTTTCAGTAAAAAATAAGTTTTTAAAGAACATTTGAATGTTGTTCATCAACTAAATTTTTTATAAACTATTTAACTGCTGAAATTTAAAAAACAAATACACATGAGTATCACACTTGATCAATATTTATATAAAAAAAAAAACAGGATGCATTTGTTAAGATAAATAATTTTCACATCTAATTATGTAAAATTTCCTTAAATATATCATAATTGTATTGTTTTTTCATAATTTTTTTTTTTTAATAAGTTTTTTTAATAAAGCAAAATTAACTCAAGAAAATTTTTTAAGATAATGGGTTTTAAAGTTGAGATTTATAAATTAGTTGTTTTCTTTATATTTAAGTCCCCTTATTCTAAAGCATTTTTGCCCTTGTTATTTCTTATTTTATTAATGAAAATACTTTTAAAAAATGTCATTAAAATTGAATCACTTTAACAATAAAAAATAAATGAATACCAAGAAAAACTAACTTTTTTATTTTAGTTAAAGCTTGCCTTCTCTGTTTTATTGTAGGCCTAAAAGTCAGTATAATATAAGCCACAATCTACAGATTTGATAATTTATTCAAGCGGGTTTTATTCCTAAAATTTTTGACGTCATTATGTAAAGAAATAAAATGCGCTTGAATAAATTATCAAGTCTGTAGATTGCGGCGTATATTATGCTGACTTTTAGGCCTACAATAAAACGGAGAAGGCGAGTTTCGACTAAAATTAAAAAGTTAGTTTTTCTTGGTATTCATTTATTATTTTGTTTTAATCAAAAAATTTAGCCCAAACATTTTTTTTTTATCATTCTCTTTAATATGAACACAACATGTCTCAGAGGTTTGGGATCCCTTTAAGGAAGCCAGGTCAATATTAAAATGTCAGGAACTCATTAAGATTTTGGGCTAAACTTTTGTGTGTGAACTTTTCTTTGTTACATGCAATAACCAAAGAAATTTGATAAAAATGTGTATTAAAATTTCCTAAACCTTGGGTGATTTCCTGTAGAATTACCCATTTTAAAAATGTTCACTGAAAGAAATATTTATGGAAGAGAAATAGTAAAATAAAAAAATGAAAAATTTTAAGAAAAATAAACATACTTAAATAAAAATACATTTTTATCTATTAAATATTAATGCACTATCAGTGTCGCTCACAAGAGAGCTACTCATTGTGAAATGTACACACATCTAATTAATTTGAGCAAAGAAGTTTCAAACAATATTAGAAATGCATCAAAATAAAGAGTTATAAGTTAACATGTAACTTATAATATTATTAATACCATAATATAAATTATAACATAACTTATAATATAGAAAGTTGTAATTTATAATGTATGATATGTTTATATATAATAAATTTATGTAATTAACTATTAATTATAATTAAAATAAAAATTTAAAAATAAAAATTAAAAAACAAAACTAATTACCTTGATACCTGACTCTTTCTGAATCAAATCATATGGATACAAAACGTCAATGGGAAGTTCTACAAACACTGGCCCTAAAATGATTTTTTTTAAACTTTGAAAATCTTTGAAAATATACAGCTATAATATTTCTTACACAATATATATATATATATATATATATATATATATATATATATATATATATATATATATATATATATATATATATATATATATATATATATATATATATATATATATATATATATATTGTATAAGAAATATTATACAATATATAAACTATAACATAACTTCTAATCCTGATTAATTTTAATGTTAACTAATAAAAAAACTAATAAAATATGTTAAATTAAAAATTAAACAGAAACATTTGATTCTTTAAAAACTTTTTAAAAATTGTAAAATATAGTTTTTCTAATGATAACCTTTATGGCTAAGTCTAAAAACATATTGTAAATGTAGTTGGAGCTGCTCCATTTGCTAAACTTATATAAGCTAGACTCAGTCCCATTGTCATAAGCTTATACAAGCTAGACTCAGCTCCATTGTAATAAAATCACACTATTTTCTCTTTTTGTCAAATACTACATTGCAAAAGATAATTTTTAAAAAACACTTACAATATCATTAGTTTTTGCGCTTTAAAACAATTAGATTTTTTTTTCCAAGTTTTTAAATTCTTGTATATCATTAAATTAAAAGTTTTATCATTAAAAAAAAAATGTAATAAAGAACTTTTTGTTTTTGTTTTTAATGTTATGTTATTAGCAACTAAAATAAAAAACATACCAGGTGTTCCTGATTGTGCCTCTTGAAGAGCTTTTTTTAAAGTAGGTATAATATCACAAACCCTAGAAACAAACTTGGGTATTTAATTAAAATTTATAAACCAATGAAATAGGTTTTTTATTTCTAAATTGCTATTTTAACTTTCAACATTATTAATATTTTAATGGTAAAAAAATGGCCACGTCAATTATAGATTTAGAGGGGCCACCTCTAGTCTGAATTTTGCAAGACCCTAAACGCCAAAAAAAAAAAAAGTTTGCCTAAAGTATGTCAAATTGGATCTCAAAATTGAGTTAGACCTAATCATATAAGAGTTATATTGAGTTAAACCTAATCATATAAGAGTTATGTATAGATATATTAAATTTAAACTAATAACTCAAGTGAACAGAAAATGACACTATTGATTAAATTAAATATAATTAACAATTTTAGATTTTCATTACATAAAAACAGCAGTAATAAAAATTGAACAAAAACAGCAGCCAAAAAATTCCATAAAAACAGTGGTCATTAAACAGCAGGTATTCTTACTAAAATACGTGGAAGATTTCTTTTTACAGCAAATGAAGTTTTTGTGTGAAATCCATTGAAATATTTGAGCAGTTTTTTTCCAATTATTTTGTTTACAAACTAATAAAGTTTTAACTTAAATAAACTTAAATAAAGTTTTAAAATTATTTTAATTTTTTTTAATTAAACCTAAACTCTTTCTTTTTTAAAACATTTTAAAAAAGAAAGTTTTTGATATTTTAAAACAATAAAATTTGTTTTTGTTTTTATGATTGTTATAACATTTATAATAAATAACAACTAATGATTTGACTAACAAAAAAGTGAAAAAAGTAATCGAGGCAAACCCTGTCAAAGTTAAACATGGTTTAACTTAAGTAATCCTGCTTAAAATTAAAGTTAAACATGGTTTAACTTAAGTAATCCTGCTTAAAATTAAAGTTAAATATGGTTTAACTTAAGTAATCCTGCTTAACATTAAAAGGTCCTTGAGCTCTAAAATTATTTTTACAATTATTTTATCAAGTGCAATTTTTTTATAGGAAACGCATTAAACTAAACCAAAATGAAAGTCAAAACAGACCTTTTAACAGTAGCAGTATACTTGCATAAAGATTTTAATAAAGTCAACTGATCAATATCTTGCAAAGAACCTCTTCCCTGAAAAAGCAAAAAATTTTGTGAATAAAACAATGAATAGTAATCTTCAAAATAATATGACTCTGTACAAAATCAGATTTGAAACTTTAGGCTCTAACTATATATTGTTTTTCATTTAAACAAAATTTGAAAATGTATATGTGTTTGTATATATATATATATATATATATATATATATATATATATATATATACACCTGTTATTATCGAATAATGACATTGACGACTTAAAGACTTAAACTTTCGCTTGTAGACACCAATTAATAGAACTTTCATGAAATAGTTTTTTACTTCTTAAAATACTTTTTAAATAAATTCCTTAACAAGCTAAAAAATCTGTTTAAAATATAAAAACGTTACATTACATTAAATTACAAGCAATACATTAAACAAATTTAAAAAAAAATTATTCTAATTCTTAATAATTTTAAAATAAAAAATCTCAATAAACCAAGTTTAATTTACTTTCATTGTTTTATTAAAAAACATATATTACAAGACTTGAATTAAGCATATTGCAAATTGCGATTACTTTTCGCACCTTTGTGATAAGTTTTTTCAAAAAAATAATATTTTTGCAACTGTTTTTTTTTGTTAATTTTTTTCTTTTTTAACAAATTAAAAAAAAAAAAGCTTTGGCTTTTTTTTTTTAATTTGTTAAAAAAGAAAAAAAATTAACAAAATAAAACCTGTTGCAAAAATACTATTTTTTTTTCCCATACTTTAAAGTAATTTTTTTATCTAAGTTTTATTAGGGGTACATAAAGTACATCATGCTAAATTTATTTTTTAAATAGAAGTATGATAATTGGCTCTTTTTACTTTTGAGTTTTTCATTCAACATAAAACATTTTTGAATTTAAGTTACTTTAAATCCCTGCGTGGAAGCCTATAATATTTTAAAGTCAAATTTAGTTTGATTTACTGAATGGATAAGGTACATAGCAGTAAATTTACCTACAAACTAAATCAAAACAATCAGTTAAGTTACTACAGTAACTTACAGTTACTTAACTATTAAGTTTACTTAATATACTCAATGACTTGCAAAAGCCATACAAATGTTTCTATTTATATTTTTTGCAATTGAAATATCAGATTAAAAAAAAAAAAGAAAATTTAATTTAAAAAAATAAACATTTAATTGCAGCAGTGTCCGTAATACCCAGTGGATTAGTGAGGTCATTCCTGAAAGTTAAACATTTATCTACAGTAACAATATAAGATTTAGAACATATTACAAGTGAGAAAGTTATAATGTAAGCATATACTTAAACTTAACAAAATATAATTCAATTTATTAGACCAAATTTTTCTCTCATTTTTTATCATAAAACAAATTGAACAAAAAAATTGAATGAAAACATCAACTTAAAAACCATTTGAATAAAAAAATTTGTACTTAAATTTTTAATAGTATGCTAGATCAAGAAGCAATTGATTATAAAAAACGTGGTATCTAATGTTTTTTTGCTTGTTTGGTATATATATATAGACATGCATGTTGTTGTACAAATATGAAGTTAAAGTTTTATAACGATAATGTTAATTAATTAGAACAATTCTATTTAATTAATTCGCTTTATTTTAAAAGTGTTTTATGTTATTAATGTTATAAACTGTATAAAACAGTGTCACAAAGTTGTTTTCATCAATGCAGGCTCTTTATATTGTCAAAGCAACTTTTCAGTTTATTTTATTGTTATTTTATAGCTTTTAACAATAACAATGTTATACTCTTTAAAAATAACAAGTGTTTTATCACCAGCATGAGCGACGCTCATGCTGGTGATAAAACACTTGTTATTTTTAAAGAGTATAACATTGTTATTATTAATAACAATAATATTGTTAATAACAATAATATATTGTTAATAACGCTCAGCGTGTTAAACAGTTTTTCTATAGGGTTGAAAATTTTATAACAATAAACTTAGTTATTATAAAATTTTATAAAATTCATTTCTTTGTTTCAAAAATATGAATTTTATCATCGTAGTATTTGGGTATTCTTTAAATATTTCAACAAAAGAATATAAAATAATAAAGACCTAAAAGTGAAAAATCTTTTAGTCAAATTTTTATAGTCAATTTAAAGTATCCCTAATTGTTTTAAAAAAACAATAAAACCCTCAAGTTGTTACATGTTACTTTTACTTATATTACTTTTGTGAAATAACAAAAAATGTTTTCTGAGTTTGCTTATCTTTTAAGCTTGTGTATAAAATCATTCTAGCTTTTATTTCTCTCGGCCTCAATGAAAAAGATTCACAAAATACAAAGAAGTCTTTTTTAGAATACTAATACAAACACAAGGAATTTCAGAATACAAATACAAAATACAAGTAAAAAGAAGTCTTGTTTAGATTACAAGTTTTATTGTTTATTATTTTTGTAGAGTGTTTTCAAAAAACAAAGATTTTTTTAGTGTTTAAATTTTGCATACAATAACAATTTTAGGGCAAGGTTGTTTGTGGATGTTCTACCCCCACAAAGAAGATGAATTTCAAGTTATAGTCGGTTTTTTGACAAATTTAGTTGGCGAAGGTTGTGTCGAGTTAGACTTAAGTCTTGAAAGCACTTATTTAAAGATAGCGATGGAATTTATTATCTCCAAATCATCAGTTATTTATTTTTATTTCTAACTATATTTTTAAATAGTTCAAATTTAGCAAAAACAATTTCTTTACTTTTTGCCCTTCATTAATCAATAACATTTTTAAATCAAGAAAAAATTTTAAAATACTGTGAATATTCAATCAAACCTTTTTATATATAATTTTACAGTTTTCAGTATCTTGTAGGCCAATTTAATAGATATTGATAAATGCCCCATCCCCTTTAGATCTTAAACAAAGCTTGCAACAGCAATGAGCATCAATATGCTTAGCAAATAACAGGATAAAACAGTTTTGAAAAATTTGAAGCTCACTTTATTTCGAATTTCAAATTTTTTTCTGGATTTGTGTTCCAGAATCTGGAAAATCCAGAAAAATTGAGAAAAAACCTAAAATTCTGTCCTTGGTTCAAACAACATTCCCAAACTTGTCAAAAGTTGCCTACATTTAAGATGGAGCTCTGTGTCACACAGCAAATGCAGTGCATAAATGGTTGTCCAAGAACATGAAATTCTGGTCAAAAGAAATCTGGTCATCTAGCTCACTAGACCTTAATACTCTAGATTATTCCATACAGGCTAATGTTCAAGCTAAGGCTTGTAAATGTTAACACTACAACATTGATATTCTTAAGAAATCTGTTGCCAAGCCACCGATTTACACCAAGAGGCACAATGAAATAAAATCTACAATATAAACACTTGCTCAAAGTTCAGATCAAGAATTAAGGCCAATCAAGGTTATACAGACTAGACTATTCTAAACACATTTTAAAAAATTATTAACAAATATTTCTTTTAAAGTGTTTAAACTGTTAGAATATTTAACTGATACTCTAACATAAATTATTTTAAAGCTGTTAGAAATATTATAATAGACATGTAAAAGTAAAAACAATTACAATTATATAAAATACATTAAAACTCCAACCACAATCTCACTTAAAAAAATACATTAAAACTCTAACCACACTCTCACTTATAAAAATACATGACTCTAACCATACTCTCACTTATAAAAATACATAAAAACTCAAACCACACTCTCACTTATAAAAATATATTAAAACTCCAAAACACACTCTCACTTATAAAAAAAAGTTTTTTTATAGATTTAATAATAGTATGGGGGAAAGTAGAAAAGTAAAACTATGTATTTAGATTTTTTCTATGTTAATTCAAGCCTAATAATTTTTTGAGATTTTCAATCATTTATTATTATGTGGGCAAAGAAGTAAAACCTTTTAATGATTATATGAAACTGCTTTTACTATATCATTCTATTGCTCTATATTTTTCTTTTATTAACAATATAACTACATTGATTAAACTTTTTTTTTTTTTTAATATCATTTTCATTGACCACTTGACTGGTAAAAAAAATTTCCCAATTTTATGTGATATCTTGTCCTAACTTTTTTGCTCACTTAATTTAGTTACTTCTTTGAAATTAATTTGCAATATGACACAAGAAAGCAATGTGGATGCTTTAGTAACAGAAAGTTAAACATAAAGTTTAGTTATGATAAATTTAGTGAACCTATGTGGTAGTGACAATAACTATGTGGTAGTGACAATAACTATGTGGTAGTGACAATAACTATGTGGTAGTGACAATAACTATGAAACAATCTATGTGGTAGTGACAATAACTATGAAACAGTCAATGATAAAGTTTTGTGTATGACACAAATGGTGGAATAGTGAAAAAAGAGTACTAAAAAAACATGAAAAACAAAAACAAATTAACAAAAATGATGCAACAACTAAGTTGATAATAAATGATAATGATGACAACTCATATTCAAAAGTGTCAAAAAAATAATAATAAAAAAGATTGAATAACTAAAAAAAAACCATTTAAATATCTTGGATATATTGATGTCCAAAAGTTAAAGTGTCAGTTGTAATAACTATAAAATGTAAGCATACTTTTAAAAGAGTAGCAGCCGCTCCACCAAGCAAGAGTATTGGAGATTCAGCCATTTGTGCATTTTTAATTGCTGTAATTGTATTTGTGACGCCTAATTATAAACAAAATCAAACAAAACTGTTTTTGGCAATGGTTGATTTAAAATTGATTTAATAAATTGTAAAGATTAAAATTATATAATTGTTGTAATGATATAATGAAATGTCTTATAAATATACCTGGCCCAGCAGTAACAGCAGCTACACCAACTGTTCCTGATAAACGAGCAACTGCATCTGCTGCAAACACTGCATTAACCTAAAAAAATATATATAATCTTAGTTTTTTAATATGTTTTAATGTTTTACTTTTTTTTTTTTAAAAAGAGATTTAAGTACCTCATGACGTGTATCTATAACTTTTATCCCTATATCTTCACATCCTACAAGAATTGGTGAAATATGACCGCCACAGAGTGTAAAAATATATTTAACACCATGACTCTAAAAATTCATCATAAAAAATTTACTCTAACAAGTAATAAAATATCATCACCATCCTCTTCCATGAGGGTGATGATGATAATAAAATATCATTATCATCCTCATCCATAAGGGTGATAATAATTAAATGATGATGGTAATAAAAATTATTATCAATCATCATCGTCATTCTTTTTTTTGTATAGATACAGTGTCATTGAAACTTTTTTTTTGTATAGATACAGTGTCATTAAAACCTTTTTTTTGTATAGATACAGTGTCATTGAAACTTTTTTTTGTATAGATACAGTGTCATTGAAACTTTTTTTTTGTATACATACAGTATCATTGAAACTTTTTTTTGTATAGATACAGTATCATTGAAACTTTTTTTTTTTTGTATAGATACAGTATCATTAAAACTTTTTTTTGTATAGATACAGTATCATTGAAACTTTTTTTTTGTATAGATACAGTATCATTGAAACTTTTTTGTATAGATACAGTGTCATTGAAACTTTTTTTTTTGTATAGATACAGTATCATTGAAACTTTTTTTTTTTTTGTATAGATACAGTATCATTGAAACATTTTTTTGTATAGATACAGTGTCATTGAAACTTTTTTTTTTGTATAGATACAGTATCATTGAAACTTTTTTTTTTTTGTATAGATACAGTATCATTGAAACTTTTTTTTGTATAGATACAGTATCATTGAAACTTTTTTTTTGTATAGATACAGTATCATTGAAACTTTTTTGTATAGATACAGTGTCATTGAAACTTTTTTTTTTGTATAGATACAGTATCATTGAAACTTTTTTTTTTTTGTATAGATACAGTATCATTGAAACATTTTTTTGTATAGATACAGTGTCATTGAAACTTTTTTTTTTGTATAGATACAGTATCATTGAAACTTTTTTTTTTTGTATAGATACAGTATCATTGAAACATTTTTTTGTATAGATACAGTGTCATTGAAACTTTTTTTCAAATTTTAGCAACCAATTTTTAATACTTTTAAACTTAAAATTTGACTCAGAGAAACTTAAAGAAAAAAAAATTTGTTTTAGAAAAAGCTTTTGCTTTTTTAGTAAAATTTATTAGGTGAAATTTTACCATCTATCTACACTATACTTATCTGTAACATGAATGAGTTTCATTTGATTTGGCGACCAAAGCACAAAAAATCACATAATATTTAGAAAACAAATAGAGAAGGAAAACTAGTAAAATATCATTTTTTAATAATTTATGATAAAATTTATATTCATTTGTAAATGAAATTTTACATTAGGTAGGTCTGTCAACAAGATTTGTCATATAACTAATTGCATCTATTCATGCAGCAGAACAATTGTATGTATATAAGAGATCCAAGTGGCTTGGATCTCTCATTATATATATACAATCTAAAAGCAACATTTTTTATAGAAATTTCTTGTGTGTTTCAACAATGCACTTAAAGATTTTATATGCTTCTTTTGAACTCTAAGATCTTGCATATATATAAAGCTGACATTCATTGCTCTACAAAAGTTTTTAATTAGATTTCAATTTTAATTCTTCAGCATTCTTAAAATGTTTTTTACATTTTTATTTAATATTATTAACTTGCTGACACCAACAAACTGGAAAACACACATGCTTATCTCGACAATATATTTATTGGTGGAAAAGATGCCTAATAGCACTATAAAAATCTTAGCTGCTATCTACATGCAGCTAAAAATCCCAACCTAGAAATAAATAAAGAGCAAATGTAACAAAAACTCATATCGAATTTTTAGGCCATTTAATTGAAAACCTTGAAACCAGATTCAAAAATCTTATGCCAAACCCAAAAACATTAAAAGAACTAAAACGAATTATAGGTTTGTTTGCCTATTATACAAAATAGATACACAACTGTACCAAGTTAACCCTACCACTTACTCAGCCAAAAGACAATTTTCCAAATAGGGGCTGACCCACATTCGAAAGAACCAATTAAAAAGCTCAAAATTAAGCTTGTAGAAGCTTCCCTAGCATCACCTAATTTTAAAATTCCACTAACTATTGAGACAGATGCCTCTGACACAGTGCTGGGAGGAACATTACTAAAACTAGGCAGACCCATGGCCTTCTCAAGAACACTAACAAACACTGAAAAAAAAACTCAATTATTGAGAACGAAGAGGCTGCCATAGTAGAATGCTGTAGAAGATTGAAACTCTTAAATAATTTAGTAACATATATTATTATAATTATAGATCAAAGATCTGTTTCCCTCAATTTCAATAAACAGAGTTAAACAAAAATGAAAAATGAAAAACTAACTTTAGTGTTTAGAATTAGCATACATTAAATATATATATATATATATATATATATATATATATATATATATATATATATATATATATATATATATATATATATATATATATCTTATACAGATCATGAAACATTGTAGCCAATGTCCATTTTCAATGTTGCTCCACTTAAAATACCAATAAAACTTTTTACACTATCCATTTCCAGCTATGCCATCCCGGAGTTAAAAGAATGGTACATTATTGCAAAAACCAAAATCTACCATACTCTACCACTACAAATTAAATAATTAAAAAGCCAATGTACAACCTGTAATGAACTCAAACCATGTTTTTACAAATCTCCCACTAGTTGTTTTATTCAGGCAATGAGAACTTGGGAAGCATATCTATGACTTTTGTTGTGCCTTTACAATCCACCACAACTAATAAATATATTATCATGATAGTAGACAAATATTCGTTCTACCCATTTGCATTCCCATTTAACGACATAACAGCTGACACTGTAATATAACACTTTCTTTCCTTTCTTTTGGAGCACCATCATCTATACAAACAGTTTGAAAATATAAAACTCAAATTATTCCTAGAAAGAAATGGTGTCATTAAAACCCGAACTACTCCATATCACCCACAAGGCAACAATCAATCTAAACAAATAAATGGAACAATTCTTAAAGCTGTTAGTCTGACCATGAAAACATTAAATCTAGGTAAAGATAGATGAGAGGTAGCATTGCAAATGACTCTATCGTCTGTAAGAGGACTTCTGTGTACTGCTACTAACGTAACACCCCATTAGAGGGTCATCATCAATAATAGGTAGGGATCTACCAAACTTCCTAACAAAATAAGTATCAACAATTCTATACTGTTGTCAGATACAAAGGGAGATCTACTTGTTGACAGAGTTAAATTTTCAGAAAAAGAATTGCCCCACTTCGCACATGTCAAATTAATACAGTTTCAAGAAAGAAAAAAAAAATTAATTTTAATTCACCTTCCCAAGGCCATGAAGGCCACTACAGTTAAGGAGGCTACTTTTAGTTGTGGTTACAACCCTCTCTCAAATCTTTAACTCCGAAACACGAACCATGACAAACAAGGCCATTGTGTGGAGAAATAAATTGAGTGCGGTACTGCCAGAGACATGGTGAGGATCTAACTCGGAACTTCTTGCTTATGAGATAAGCGATCTACTACTACCTCATCTCGCGTCACCTATAACAACAATACCTAGCCAACCTTCTAAACAAAAAGTTCCTACTCCTGACACACAAGCTAATATATCCTCAAAAACAGGACATACAATTAAAAGGTTAAAGTTTCTTGATGACTACTTTTCTTCATTGATTGTTATCCATAAGTCATTACACCTAAAACTTTCTTAAAACAGAGAAGACTGTTATATTTTAACTTGTTTCTAATTGACGCCACTTCCTGTCATTTGAAATAATATGATTAAATAAAATGGAGTTATTTCCATTATGTAGTTCTTAATTTGTGTTTAACTTTATATTTGATAAAAGCCAAAAGACTTTTTAATACAGTTGCACAACAATTTAACCATATTATTTTAAATGACAGGAAATGACGTCAATTAGGTGTTAAAATATATTTTATATATTATTATACCTTTAATATACATTATATACTGTTATATATAACAGTTAAAGTGTAATTGTCAACAAAAAAAAAATCAATAAGAAAAATATTTTTCAGCCACTTTAATAGAATAAACTTTTAAAATTTATTAATTTTATTTTTTATCACACCTGTTTAACACAATGTGTATTTAATTGGCCAAGTTGTTGAAAGAAAAAAGATAACTATAATTTTACTTTTATATTAACTTACAGCAAAATATTCCATTAACTTCTAATCAAGTGTTTACTTTATATAAACTTAAAGTAAAATATTCAATTAACTTCTAATCAAGTGTTTATATTAGTTAAAATATTTCAGGGTATATGTAAAATATCTGAAACTATTAATTACACACAGTAAAAGTTGTTTATTATTTGATTTTTTTGTTCCAATTAGTCATAAAAAGTCACTAGTTTATTTAGAAACTCTTATATGTAATGGAGTTGTTACCAATGAAAAGCTATGTAATATGTAATAGAGATGTTACTAATGAAAAGTTATGTAATATTAATTTAAACAAAATTTACTCATGCTTTGTTAAGAACGGATACAGAAGTGAAATTATAAATAATAGGAGTATCCGTAACAAAATATTAGAACGCATTAAACAATAATTCTTACATTTTTTAATATTTAACGTCTCATAAAAATTGCTAGTTAAATTTTAAATGAAATATTTTAGCTAGAAGCAAAAATTATTTAACTAGAGTTGAGATGAAATCTATATACATAAGTAAATTTAAAAACATTTTGATAAATGGTAGTATGGGATCAAATCTGCTATGCTTTCTATAATTTTTCTAGCAATTTGTTTATTTTTTGTTTAGCTTGTTTATTTGTATAGATTCACTCCTGTGTAACATTGCAATATATATTGCTGCTTGTACATAAATTATTCACACTTGATAAAGTCTTTATTGAAACTGTTGTGTGTAAATAAATATATTTTATTTTGTAAATAATATAAGTATTAAGTATTTTTCACATTTCGGATTTTTTTAAATATGTATAATTAGATTTGAAATTGCATCTAAAGATGGAAATCAAATCATAAATTATACTTATGATAAAAATCCTAATAAAGTAAATCTCAGTGAACAGTTTTTTAAATAATCACTTTTGAAAACAAATATGAAATTAAAATATGCAAAATAATTGTAAAACCACAATATAAATATGTATACATTAGTGTGATGTTAGCATATGCAAATAAAACAGCTAACCAAAGTTTAACAAAATTCTGAATAAAATGTAAATGCCCTGAGTGCACTACTTATTGGTCAAGTTGTTTTATAAAATAATTAGGATTATATAATTTTTACTTAGAAATAATTTACATGTAATCAAACATCATTAAAAACATCATAAATTATCAGTTAAGTTAATATTTTTTTTTTTTTTTTTTTTTTTTTTTTTTTTAACATCTTCACTTCCAACAAGGCTGCAAGCAACCACTATAAGAGTTGGAAGTTACTGGAAGAGAAAAGACTAAATCTGTAGAGCAAGATAACGATTGACTGATGACTTAAAAGATTGCAAATTATATGAATCAGGAAAGCAAGATGAAGGAAGCGAATTCCAAAGAACTTATGTTCGAGGAAAAAAACTAGAAGAATAAGAGTTTTTGAAGCACTTAGGAACAGTCACAGAAAAAGGATGAGACTTAATTGAATGGCGAGTAACACGAGAATGAATTTTAGTAGATGGCACAAGGGACGCTAGCTCCTTAGAGCAGTGCCCATTATAGTATTTGTAGAAAAGAGAAAGAGAAGCAACATTACGACGATGTGACAAAGGTTGGAGATTGGCTGCCAGAGCAGGTCCAACTATGTTTACAATTCGTTTTTGCACCTTGTCTAAAAGAGAAAGAGCATCATTAGAAGATCCGCCCCAGATGTGGCAACAGTATTCCATACAGGGACGGATTTGAGATTTATAGAGATAGAGAATAGAATCTGGAGTAAGAAAGTGTCGAGCTCGATAAAGAGATGCAACCTTAGCAGATGCTAATTTTGCAATGGATTTGATATACGGTTTAAAAGAAAGATCAGAAGTAAGAGTTAATCCTAGAAGATGAATGGTAGATGACTCATCTAGTACATTACCATTCATAAATATAGGAAGATCTAAATTATTACGATAACGATTGGCCGAATAAAATTGAGTTTTATCTGAATTAAAGTTCACCAGCCACTGTGAGCCCCAAGCTGTAGCAGAAGTGAGATCCTTTTTAAGCTCAGATACTCCCTCCAAGCAATCAGAGAGTGTAGGCTTCTTATCATGACAAGAGTAAATGGTAGTGTCGTCAGCGAATAATGCCACCTTAGATGTGAGAATATCTGGAAGATCGTTAATGTAAATTAAAAAGAGTATAGAGCCAAGGATTGAACCTTGAGGAACCCCTGAAGTTACAGGATGTGAAGAAGAGTGTTGTCCATCGAGGACAACTTTTATACTACGATTGGAAAGAAAGGACTCAATAATCTTAAAGACGTTACCAGCTACACCATAAGAAAAAAGCTTATGGAGAAGACCAGCATGCCAAACTTTATCAAAAGCTTTAGAAATGTCAAGTGCGATAGCCTTAACCTCTCCACCTCTATCTAATGCACGGTAAAACCTATCGGTTATTACTGTTAGCACATCAGCTGTAGAACGAGAAGACCGAAATCCATATTGATGATCAGAAAGTAAGTTATTTGATTCAAGATGAGAGATTAAGTGTTTGTTGATTAAAGATTCAAAAACCTTGCTTATGACAGGAAGAAGACTAATGGGACGGTAGTTAGATGAATCAGATCGCTCTCCGGAATTTTTGAATATAGGGATAACAGATGCTGCTTTCCAGCATGATGGAAAACAAGACTCTGATAAGCACTTGTTAAATAGTTTAGAAAGTATGGATGAAAGCTCCGGAGAACACCTCTGCAAGACTACAACAGGAATGTTGTCAGGACCACAAGCTGTTGAAGAGTCTAAGCAGGAAATTACTTTAGATACAGAAGCTGAAGTGATGCGAATGTCAAGCAAGGGATCAACCTGTTTGACGGCTATGTCAGGTAAAACGCAACTAGTGGAATCAAGAGATGATATTGATGAAAAGTTCTTAGCAAACAATTCAGCTTTGTCTTTAGGTGAGGTGACAAAGTCTGAACCATACAAGAGAGAAGGAATAACAGATTTGCCCTTATTATTGATACTGTTAAAGATTCTCCAGAAGTCTCGAGAGCCTAATTTTTGTGATGAGATACGAGATTTAATGACCTGGGAATAGCGAGCTTTGGCGTCAGACAAAACCTTTTTACAATGGTTTCTGGTGATAGTGAACAGATGTCTGTTTTCTGGAGAATTGTTTTGCTGATAGATATGGAAGTAACGGTTTCGATTAGAAATTGCTGCAGCGCAATGTGAGGAAAACCAAGGAGAAGAGTGAGGCTTGACCTGGAATCGTCAAGAGGGAATAAAAGATTCCATGCCAGCCTGAATCCACGAAGTTTTGCACATTTGTCAGCAGGAAGACGAAAGATTTCTACCCAAAGGCCATCACGAAGAAAATCACGGAAAGAGTCCCAGTCAGCTTTAAGGTAGTTGTATGTGGTACGATGATAGGGGGATTCTGATGAAGTAGAAGAATTTGATAATAGTTTTAATATCCAAAAAATCATTCTTAAAGATATTCAAAATATTGGATTAAAATAAAAACATTAAAAAATACCTGCAAGACCTGAGCAACTAGCTCACCACCATGGCGCTTAGAATTCCTATCAACCTATCAAATAAAAACAAATCATTTATTGTGCACTTGAAATAACATAGTGATCATTCTGGAATAGACAGAGTGATTTGTTTGTCTTGTGTTTCAGAGTTTGTGGGTTTAGCAAGTATTGTTTCATTGAATCAAAAATTATATAAAAATTAATCCCCTTTTATATCCCTAGTAACCTTGGGGAGGTGAATGCATTAATAAAAAAGTACAAATTTAGTTTACATTTATCTAATTAACTATGATTACATTGATCTCACCTACGATTATAAATAATATTGTCTTCATGAATTAAATGTATACGAGTTGGGATTTTTAAAATTAAACCAATTCATGAGATTGTATGTTGTGATATAAATTAAATCCATAAATGTGATTAAGTCAGAATAGATTGAAATCTGAAGTTATGTATTTTTAATTTGTAGTTTTATTTTTAGATTTTTATTTTTAGAGTTTTTCTCACATTAAATTATTGGGAATTGATTATAAAGCTTTTTGCTGTAAATGAATATGACTCAAAATACCAAAATATGACTCAAAATATCATGGATAACAACTGTAACTTGGAAAAATTCATAAAGTTGATCAATGTTAGTCAAACCAAATTATTTTATAGAGACAGACTTTATGGACTAAAGAATGTTTTCAAAAATTCAAAACAATTGAGCCAATTATTTATAAACTTTATATATGAATTAAATGACTTAAAACAGTCAACTATAAACTTTAAATTAAAAAAAAAAGTTGAGGATTTTAAAAACTCTTTTAGAATACGGTTGAACAATGTTTGTTCAGATTCTTTGTATGTACTCTTCAAAT